CTATACACATATGACTACAACAAAATGTAAATGACACTAATTTGCTTCTACAGTTTTCGCTCCTCCTCTAGGATAGTATTTGTCAAGAATGCTTTCTGGTATTCGTTTCAACATTTCTCGGGGGAAGATACGAAGAAGTTGCCATCCAATGTCTAGTGATTCGAATACATCTCGTTTCTCGTAGTTTCCTGAAACCCAGTTATTTTTCAATCAAAAGTTGAGAACGATGAGAACCGTAAATGACAGATAAGAGCAATATAATGAAGCCAATCTTGAGAGGTTCAAAAACATTGAAAATTTCTCACCTTGTGCAATGAAGTTTTTCTCGAACTTTCCCAAGAATTCGAGGTATAGGAGGTCATCAGACGAAAGGGCTTCCTCACCCACTACAGCTTTCATAGCTTGCACATCTTTACCAATGGCATAACAAGCGTACAACTGAGATATTATAACCATTCAGTCAATGAAGAATGCAGAGACTACGAATTCGTACCTGATTAGAAACATCGGCGTGATCAACACGAGTCATTCCTTCGCCAATGGCGGATTTCATTAGTCGAGACAGCGAGGGCAATACATTAATTGGTGGGTAGATCTAGAACAAACATCAAGACTCAAAAAGGCATGAAAGATTGACTTGCAAGGTACCTGTCTGTTGTGAAGTTGACGATCGACGTAAATCTGTCCTTCAGTGATGTAACCAGTCAGATCCGGAATGGGGTGAGTAATGTCTAAAAGGGAGAATATTCCACAGAGAGTTCAAAGAGGTTTTTATTTCAAGAAGTGAACATTTGAATTTAGGCAAAAACACTTCTGCGTTTCTTTTATCCTGATTTGGTCAATACAAACCGTCATTAGGCATTGTGAGAATAGGAATCTGAGTGATAGATCCATCACGTCCCTCTACTCGACCGGCTCGTTCGTAAATTGTCGCCAAATCAGTGTACATGTAACCTGGGAATCCTCGACGACCGGGTACTTCCTCTCGAGCAGCAGACACCTAAATGAGATAAACTTCATCTTTTGTATGAGAATAATGAATGATTGAAGTGGGAACTACTTAAATCCTACCTCTCGCAAAGCCTCTGCATATGAGGACATATCAGTCAGTACGACCAAAACGTGTTTTTCGCATTGATATGCGAAGAACTCGGCAGCTGTCAAAGCTAATCGAGGAGTAATGATACGTTCGATAGTAGGATCATTAGCCAAGTTCAGGAACAGGCACACATTTTCCATGGAACCTGAAAGA